TGTTGAATGTTCTTTGATTTGGAACAGTCCCATCCCAAGTAGGCAGTGGCTGTGCTCTGCTGTAACAGACATCTCAAGAGGATTTGCTACTTGACAGTGCACACCTCTCCAGCAGACAAGCACTTACAATGCACATCCATTTACCAAGCGTGGAAGATGCCAGCGTTCATTTCAGTAACAACTATGCCGGGATAACAGTGTGAAGGTTCTTCCTTCTCCTCAATGTTTCGTTTCCCAGACCCTGATGTTTGGTGTTCCTGCTCCTCAGACCATGTAGTCAGTGCGGTTCCCATCTCTGGACATGCCAAGCCATGCCAGAGCAGCAAGAAGCCCTTCCAGCCCCTGTTTAAGGTGGTTGTTTAAGGTGCTGTTTCTCAAGAGGATGGCTCAGATGGCCAGCGTCTTGCACCACCCTGAAATATATACAACTGCAGAACATGAGTTCTTAGCAGGAAATGTGGCCAAGAATGATTCCCCATAGCTGGCAATGTTATTTTGAGCCTGGGACAGAAGTTTGTGAGAGTGCTTGGAGCATGGGATGAAAAGGAATGTGCACAAAACAGTCAGCTGCAGAGACTCGTAGTCAAAGTTGTTGCAGGGTTCTTCTGTGTGCAGTTTTACTGTCCTTGGCTGCTAGTGGTGAGTGGCTGGATCCTTCAGCTGTGGGGAAGACTGCAAGGGGCATGGGAGTGTCTAATCCACAGTGCCATTATCGGCTCTACCCACCTCCTTGACTTTGTCAGCTACAGGAAAACTGCTGTCAGTACCCAGTGGTGCCATCTCTATTACCTGGGACTATGTTAACAGCATAGTTACTCCTATGGTTATCATAGGAACTCCTGTGGTTATCACACAAGGTCTTGCAGACCACCAACAGGGATTTATTGATACCATCACTATTCTCAAGCTTTAGCCACTGAACTCTGAAACCTGGGGCTTGACAGGCTTGACACCTCCTTTCCCTAGGGATACCAGCAAGTCCAGGTATCACTGGGATTGTAGTTGCAGGCAGCTTGCAGAGGCTTGGGACAGCCATTGCCCCCAGAAGGTCCCTGGGACAGACATCCACACTCACATCTGAAATAGAGGACATAGAACTGTGAATAAGACTGGTCTAGGTGAGCTTGCAGATGCTGGGTGTTGGCAACTGCTGCTGCATTTTCTGTTAAACTTGCTTTGACATGTGTTTTACAGAGAACTTTGTGCAGCTGCGAAATCAGTTTCAGTGCTACCCAAAAGCACTTTTTAGCTGAGAAAGTAGATGTGAGAAACAGGCCTTGAGTGGTGCAAATAAATGGTCTCATCCTTAATGTGCCTGGAAATGGTTTCCAGGATGAGCTGCTCCATCACCTTCCCATAAATACAGGTTTAATCTTCTTAGAGAAAATAGAGTAAAATATGAAAGCTCTTTCTATAATAAGAAATAGCAAGTACATGGCTTGTTGTTGCTTTTAGACCACAAACGGACAACAGAAAAAAAGAGTGACTAGTCGGCAAGGATGTGTTAAGGCTTTCTTCTGACACATGATAGAAGATCTTAAGCAACACAATTTTTCAGCATCAACTCCCCCTGAAATGATACAGCTACTCATTAAATAAGCAAACTGCAATTCATTGGCTCAGGTTTGGCTGGAGTTTTTTCTCTCTAGGCTACAAATCTTATTATGCTATCCTTTTTAAAGTTGTGAGATTATTTGTATCCGTTGCCAAGATTTAATTAGATGATTGCCTAGAGGGGTGGACATTACCAGCGGTTCATTAAATGGTTTTAACAAAATGTAGGAAGATCCAGTACCATGTGACTTTCTTTTTCTTTCCCCTAATGCTTTGATATATTGAACAAGACAAGTGGACATTGTGGAACTTCATGTGAATATTTAATAGAATCTTCCAGTAAACGATAAATGATAGTGATTGATACATGATAAATGGCCATGTATGCTGTGCATCTCTTCAGAGAGTTCAGACTAAAACCAAATCTCATTCTTGTATTAAACACTTTAATTGCTTTTAAAAAATTGATCAAAAAGACAGAAATGTTGTAGAGGTATATCCCTTCTTATTTTTTTGGTCACTTGATCCACTGTCAGCCTTGGATCACCTTGCATAAACTTTCAGTGGTGAAACAAGTAGGGGCTTTTTAGCCCCATAATTTTCATTAAGGCTTTCAATTAAAATCCATAAGGAATTTTCTTACCTATTAAATGCTCATTAAGTAAATGAAGATGAAAAGTAGTTGGACACAGCAGTAATAAATACCATATTTTAGAGTTTAATTAAACTACTTAGACTCTAGCTAGTAGTGATTAGATGGATACAGAAAGGATGACACTGAAGCAACTCTAACTCCTAGAGCTAGAAAAAGTGGGCATGACAGTAGCCTCGATTTATTAAAGCAGTGCTGCTTAGCCTTTCTTTCAGTCCACGAAGAATAGGGAAAAAATCCCAAAACCCATTTCAGACTATACTGTGTAATGCTACCAGAGTTGCTTTAACAACCAAATAAATGTATCCTCAAATTTAGAGTGTTTTACTGTATTTGTTACTGTGTGTGTCTCCATTATCTTCTGTCCGTGTATAGAAGTGTAGCTTAGTTTCCAGTATCTTACAAAAAAAAAAAAAAATATATATATATAGGAGCAGGAATGGTGTATTGAGGAAAAGGATTTCAAACATTCCACTAGAAATGAACCAATCATTAATGTACAGAATGTACCATCTCAGTTCAGACTGGCTATGAAAAGCTCTCTGAAACTAACAGCAACCCATTGCTAAGAAAATGGAAAGTTACAACAGGAAAAGTTGGTAAATAAAACTGAAGGAAAAATAAATGAGCTTGCCTTCTGACAGAGGATGGGAACTTAGTAATAGATCTACTTGTGTCTACATAGAGGAGGCAGTCTTGACATTATTTCAGCAGGTTCAGGTGTTTTTTCTTTCATAAAAAGAATACTTTTTTTGATGAGACCAAATATTTACTAAATTTAGTTCTTTTACACTATGATTTGATTATAGTCACTCTGATGTTTATTCACGACATACTGCTCTGCAGGTATTCAAGCAGAGTTCAGGTAAGAGTATTTTAGCTCTCTTTGAATGTGAGGTAAAATATCCTAAGATCTCCCAGATCCTTCTGTCCCATCTCTTAACTGCTGTGCCATGGCCTATCTACCTTCTCCGTGGTAGTTCTCTGCCCTTACATCCACTTCTCACATTTCAAAATAACTCGGCTTTCTTTGTCATGGGACATCCTCAGCTTCTGCTACATTTATGATGTCAAGAATCTGGAAAAATAAAATTGGGCTGATGGGTTTAAGCAGCATTGCACATTTAACTTTTGCTTCTGTGCTTTACTTGCAGACACCATCGCTCCATGCTTTTAAAGTATTTTAAAATGCATCAAAAGTGGGTGTTTTCTTTTTATTTGAATGAGATAGTCTTCAACCTATAGTCACATATGAATTGCTGAGAAATACTTATCATCTTTCCATATTTTGGAAGAGGCTGAGATCAGGCAGCAGCACCTCTCTCGGCAGCCCAGAACTCACGTACCCTGCTCCAGGGACTGCAAGAGCAGCTGAAAGGACGTGCTCAGTGTCTGCATCATGTTTGCTTCTTAACATCACATTTAAATTCAAGGACAAGTATTTCAGTAATTACTGGCACTTCTTATAAAAGCACAAACCAAAATTAAAAAATGTGCATGATCAAGAAGTGCTACAAAATTTTTTGTAGAAAATAATTTTTTGTTGTAGTTTAGTTTTTTGGGTTTTTTTACAAGTACATAAGCTTGCTTGAAGCCAAGTGAATACAATTTGCACAAATAAAGAAAAAAATACAGTTAAGTGAATATACACACATACACCTTTCCAAGTCCAGATGAAAATACAAGCCTACCTGTAGAACATGCATATAAGACCGTTTGCAACCTTTTCCCTCTTCTGGAATTCATAATTAAAATAACTACTCACTGGACATGAATGTGTAGTACCTGTTCTCCTGCTGTTGTCATTACAGGAATGTCCTTAAAATTCTTTTTGGTTTGTCTTATGCCAAGAATTTTCACAATAAAAAATACTCTTCAGCACTGCATCTGCAGAACATATTCTCATGAACTGCAATAAGACAGTCCTTAATCCAAGTACCGATCAACTTGTAAGCATATTCAATGGCATTGTACAGCTACAATGATCCAGAACTCAGTAACAGCAAAACAGCAATCATTTAAAAATTATTTTTTATTTGAAGCTCTCTGGAAATATTCCTGTGATTAAGGAGGGAGAAGAGAATATGCTTGCTCTATGTTATATTAGTAATAAGCATTGGGTACTATGAACTCTCTTTAGATTTAATGGAAGAGTAGTTCTTGGGGGCTGAGAATTTACTCAGATTCAGAAATTCTTTGTCTGTTTTAGATGAAACAGAATCCATTAGTAACTGAGCCATCCACTAAAACCATTATTATTTTTTTGTAAATATGGGTTAGGCAACAAAGTAAATTGTGAAGAGTTTGTTTCTTTGTTTAATAATATCATCTACTGGAAAATGTGATTTTTACAATTTATGCTTGCTCATGCATCAGGTGATAGGACTGTCACACTAATACACTGTCCACATGCACAATTTACCCCAGGAAACAAACAGAAGTCTCCATTGTTCTAGTCTCCAAGAAATAAAGGCTGGAGTCCAACTGCAGCAGTCCCAATGTTTCTGAGCAGAACTCCTGTGAGTAAAATGGCCTCAACGATTATCATATCTGCTAATATCAGTTGACACTTGTAAGGCAGGCTCAAAATCAGGTTTTGAACAGGGCCCAGTGTCAGCTCACCACCACAGCTGCTCTGTGCATGGACCTGCCCCTGGCTATACGGGGTCCTGCTTGGGCGCAGGGTTGGATTTCTGTGAAAGCCCACATATTCAGACAGTTACAATTATTAATTATTTCCCAGACAAAACATTGGCCATTTTTATCAACAAAAGGTGAATAAAAGCCCCTTAGGTAGATGCATTATTTTTTATTAAGTGTTAAATTAATCAAGCTGTTGACCCAATGGGATACTGTAAGCTTAAATTTAAGGAAATGCTCAAGTGCTTTACAAGAGAGAGAGAGAGAGAGAGAGACAGAGACAGGGAAGTGTCTGGTGTCTGGACAGATCCAGCTCTAAATGAAAATTAATGTTTTGGTCTAACTTGAGACAATTCACTTCCCATTCTGAGAACTGCATGTATCCAAGACAGCAGTTCTTACACAGTCATTCAGAAGTGGTAGTTATTTCCAGCCCTAGGAAAAAGGCAGCACAGGCACACAGCTGAACTGCCCACCAGAAAACAAAATCTGGTTTAACATAATCATAATAGTGATGATCTTCATTGAAGAAAGTGAAACAAGGATATAAGATTTACTCTTGGAATGATTCTGATTTAAATTAAGGATTAATAAAGTTCATTAATGAAGTGCTTAACAAAAATCTATCTGATGTTGATAAATCGTTTGTTACATTTGCCATGTGTACAAATTTGCTGTGATTTATGGTTCATTAAATTGATTTCTTTGTGATTTCCCCCCTCTTCCCATTCACCCTAACCATATTTCTCCTGTTGCAGCAGCCACAGTTTTATTGTGCCTGTTATGATACTTTGCTGTCATTGAAGATAGTTATTCAGTTGTTTGCATGAAAAGAAACAAAAAATATAGAGGGAGATGAGGGAAATATGTTAGTTCTACTGTTGTCATATGCTAAAAAACTAATAGTATGAAAAATAGAGCTTCTTGTTTATTAACATCCTGAATTTAACTACCATGTTCATAACATGCTTTGAAAACATCTGGGGCAGTTCTTCTTCAAAACAAAACAAAAACAAAACCACCCCAGTCCTAACAGATTTAAGTAAGGAGAAGCACAGTCTTTTAAAAAAAAGAGAAAAAACCCACACAGGGTGATGGTTACTTGAAGGCATGGTGAAAGTGAGGCAATGTTACAGAATTTGTAGTGGATGGAAAGGAGCGAGGAAGATGATGCAGCTGGTTTATGGCCATCCCACCAGTTGCTAGCTGAAGACCTTGCTGTGGGCTGAGGCCATTCAGCCTGTGTGATGGTTCCTCTGAGCCAAATGTCATTGTCATGTCCCCAATAGTGTTCTGGTTGTCACCTGGTGGGAGCTGCCAGAAACCCATCACATGAGTGAGATCCATGAAAGGCAGGCTTGCAGTTTCAGCTGCTGCCTCTGTCTCTTTGTGCACTGGATACTTGTTAATATCCCCTACAGGCCCTGAGGAAGCTTCCTCCATACTGATTTTGTGGAGAGACTGAGGTTCTGGTAAAGGCAGGTCCTCGAGAAGATGCACATTGTAACCTTTAACATCCACTTTTATTGGCAGATTCTTGAGGGATCCTGCGGCAAATGAGGTAGAACTAAGGTCATATTTGTTGGGCTGATGAAGGTTCAGGTTAATAGGGACAGCTGCTGAACATGGTGTGGGAGGGACAGCTGGGATGCTGTCTGCACAGCCCATCCTTTGCAAGTGAGGAGAAGAAGACTCAAGAGGAAGAGCAGTTTGTAAGGTTGGCTGGGAATGAAGATGGGAACAGCTGTATTCCTCTGTTTCTGAACTATTCACAATCCCATTTGGCACAGGGACACTTTCAGGAAGAGGGGACAGCATGCTGGCATCTTCCTTCAGTCTGTATGAAAAGAGCTGGTCAAGGAGACCCACTGAGTCACCATTCTGCAACCTGCTCTTCAGCAGTTCTTGTGGATGAGTCTTCCTAGTATGGCGTGTCAAGTGGTCCTTCCGCCCAAACCTTTGGGCACAGAACTGGCACAGGAAGTCTTTGCAGCCTGTGTGAACCACCATGTGACGTCGCACATCTTTACGGGTATAGAAGTGACGCTCACAGTGGTCACACTTATGTTTCTTTTCCTTCATGTTGCCAGTCGGTTTCCCTGCGTGACTTTTGAGGTGCTCCAACAGAACCTCAGTACCACCAAACTCTTGGGCACACACCCTACAGGTGAGGTCCCCGCTGGTGGCAGCATGAAGAGCCAAGTGTCTCTTATAGCCTAGCTTGGTGTTGTACTTCTTGCCACACTCTTCACACTTGAAGGCCATCTTGTTGGGGTCATGGGTCTGTAGGTGATTCTTTAGATGGTCTTTCCTGTGAAACGTCTTTTCACAGTACCCACACTGGTGAGATTTCTGTGGAGAATGAGTGGCCGAATGCCTAAGAAAAAAAACCAAACAAAACAACACACAAAATAAGTTATTTGTTTTCATATTTATTCTAGTATATTTACTCTTGCAGCCTCAAAACTTAAAAACACTGATATTCTCAAAGGAAAGCATTCTCAGGTTATAACTTCTCAGGTTATAAGTAAAAGCCTAAATTTTGTCAGGGGGGGAAGAAGGTGTTAATCATAAAGCATAGAGTAGATTAAAACTGCTCAATAACGTCTTTTTTGAGTAGCCACCATAATTAAGGGAGACTGGTTTTCTCCAATTATATCAAAAACAGTAATAATAAAAACTGGACCTCTGGGATTAACTGTCACTAGAACACACCAAAGGAAAAATATGTCTTTTTTCCCCCCCCACCCCACATCCAGAAGAAAAGGAATGCCTTCAGAGCTGTACCTGAGCAGTTTATATTTGGAAATGAAGGCTTTTGTGCATCCGTGCTGTGAGCACTTGTAGGGACGCTCCCCTTTGTGCGCATAAGCGTGGACCGTGAGCTTGTCAATGGAATCAAATATCTTCCCACAGAGTCGGCAGGGATAACTATCTGGCTGCTTCACTTCTTTTCCCTTCAGCAGTGAAGACCGACCATTTCTCCATTTAGGTATAAACCTCACGAGAGCACCACAAGTGCTTCCTGAGCTGGCACAGCTGAACTTTGCAGCAGAGGAACAGGAAATGGTCCCAAAGCACTGAGTAATGCTTTTGCCTAATGATGCTCCTCTCAGTTTCCCTTTGAGTTTGCTTTTTGCTTTTACAGGTCCCAACTTATTTGGTGGTCTGAACCTCGTAGGAAGGACTCGGTCTTTATGGATGCACTGGTGAGATTCCAGCAGAGCAAAAGTTGAAAAACTGCTTCCACAGCTGGAGCATATCCAAGGGTCTACAGGCTCTTTCTGCAATGAGAACGGAGACAGGTATTTCTTACTAAGGAAAGGTCATATTCATCTTACTCATTTTGTCCTGTGCTTTTCTAAGACCCATCACTGTCCTTGGTGATATTTACTTCCATGTGCTACCACCTAGTTGTTCAACTGGCAATAGATTCTCTCTAGGAGTAAAAACTCAAAGGAAAAGTAAGGTTGGCTAAATACTGATTTACATGTTTTTGTTTACCATTTACTGTAACAGTCTTGAGTCCTTCACCTTTGTTTATCTGTGCTTACTGAATTTTGAAGCCTCTACATTTGTTGCGTTTACGAAATTAGTGACAAAAGCAGTTGTAAATTGTACTTTATCCTTGGACTGACATAGTTTATCTACTATTCCAGCCACACAAAAATGGGATGGGTTTCTGTGCAAAAATGTAGACAGATGTATACAGATTTCCTTGTGTCTTGGGCCAGCTCCATGCCTTACCACATAGCAATGGTCAACAGCTTCAGGAGCGACTTCCTCACTTAGCCTGACACTTGGCATTAGACTTCCATTAACTGGATAAGAAACCTTAGGTTTAGGGATCTCAAGCCTATCCTGACTTAAAGCCTCTTTTTTTTTTTTTTTTTGCTAACACTGTATTATTTGGAAGTATTACTTCCATGGAAATGAGCCCTACTGGATTCAGTTGAATTCACTTTAAATACTGATATTATAAAAATTCTGATGAAAAGCAATTACAAAAAACTCCAATCATGGATGAAATGTACTTCCAATTAATGCATGACCATGTACATCCTCAACTTCATCTACCTTTTATGTAAGCTTCTCATAAACTGTCCTCCTTTTCTCCTGCTCTTGGGCTAGCTTGCTCTAGAGAGCACGGTGAAACTATATCTGCTTTATCTTTATTTCCAGACCAAGCTCTCCTCTCTGCGAAGACTTGTGTCTGATGCTGTGGCCCTCCCACACCTTCCTTCTGGGGAATATTCTGAAGGCCTCACGAGCTGCCTTGGAATATGAATTCCTGGTTCATTTGTATTCCCTGTTTCCCATTATTTCTAGATTAAGTATTGATTTTCATAGCCATGTTTCTATCACTTAACAAACTTTTCCTATCAGTTTAAGGATTTCTGCTATGATACAGAGGGGAAGGTATTTGAATTAGTAGAGAAGGGTTACTGAACAGGAAAGATTGAAGTAATTAGTGGGTACTCTGGCCAATCAGCCAGAGCAAAAGAAGGGGAAATGGTGAAAAACGTCTGAGACTGGACAGCTTGGTTATCCATAAATTAGTGTCCATCTTAAGTCTTTCCAATACATCAAGTGGTGCCACTTACTTCTGACTGTATCTGATGGCTCCATTGGATTACAAACACAGGACAGAAAGAACAACCTTTCTCTGATAGCTGCTTGGCTAAAATTGCTAAAGGTACTGTATGGTCTACATTTGCATTACCAGAGTTATATAAACAGAGAAAACATGTAAATAAACCATAATTTACTATGTCTAGTGATAGCTTCAATGCAGAATAGGGGTACTTACTGCTACTGAAGGCAAAGGAGAGACATCTGATTCTTCTTTAATGAAGACTGCAGAAGCTTCCATAAATTTGGCATAATCGGCAGCATACCATACTTTCAATTCTGTGTGCGGTTCAATAGGCTGTGAATGGAAAAAACCAGCATGTGCTTACTTGTGTCAATTTTCCTAAACCAAACAATAGGAAAGATAGGAAGGGCAGGGCAAATGCAGTTTGACTGCAGGGGCAGTCAAACTGCATTTTTGACTCTGTTTAAATTATTGGTAACTTAGTTTCAAGGTTCAAGCACTTTTTGAGCATTACTGCCCACTAGGGCTTGACAATTTCTGTTTCTAGAAGTGGAATTGTATATGCAGAGATTTGGATCTGGGTGGATCTCAGTAGCAGGAGGGATGCTGCAATCCTCATAACCTTTGCTCAGTGAGATGTATTTGTCTGTGATGTTCAGACATCCTGCAGTCTTACCAAGCATATCCCATTCCCATTCTTTGATGTGTGGAAGCCCACTGGACAGAAGATTTAACTATAGCGTACAGGCAAAGGAAAAATGCACAGTGAACGTGCAAGATCTTGGATGGCTCCTGGACATGTCACACTGAGCATGGGTGCAGACATGTGGACTGCAAGGCAAACCGGCGCCTTTCCATGCGCTCGCTCTAATGTGTCAGGCTTGCTGTGAGCGTGCTTTATTGTAACTCTGCCCTCCTCCTGCTGAAGCCTTCCCCCAGAGGATTAAGGGAGCCCATAATCTGCAGTCTCCCATCCCGTCATGCTTGCCCAAATCTCTCCTTGGACTGGACTATGACCTCTTCTGACAAATACTTTCAGTCAATAATACAGCAAATAGAAAAAGAGAGGAGCAATTACACTCACTGGCTAAAGATCTATTAGTTCTTTAAATGCAAAGGAGAAAACTAAACGTTGGGGTCATGATTTATATGACTCCCTGACCCTGTACACAATTTTCTTCATCTATAATAAAAACCAACATTGCTGTAACAGGAGTAGAGCCAAACTGCACTGTACTTGTAGTTTTATTTTAACTAAGATAAACTCATGCCACCAAAAAGAAAAACAAAACAAATTAGCCTGGAAAGAGAGCAGCTGAGTTATATTCCAGAAAATGTGACATCATAAAATCCACTTATTTTGTAATATTGATCTGGGATAAGCATAGTAGGGAAAAGACAATGTAGATTGTGAATGCAGACAAGTGAGGGGTTAATTGTGGGTTTAATGCTGAAAACTGAATTTGAACTCCCAAGCACAAGCCTGCCTGCTAACTACAACCAGTATGGGTTGGGTGTACATTTTGATAACACCTGGCGTAAACAGAAATGGTCTGTCCTGAATTCTCCAGTCAATTAAGAACATGAGGCAGAGCCATTAACTCGGAGGCTCATCATGCATTGTGATGCAAATGTTTAAGGATGTCTTGGGACCTTGGCCTGTGATATGCGAGACTGGTACTCACAAAAAACTGCACAGAGTGACACTGTCACAACTTTCTGCCCAGCATTCCTAGACTAGCAGCCATCTCCTTCATGGGAAGCTGAGACCTGGTCAATGTGACTTTGGGGAAAGAGCAAGTGCATCAGTGTGTGAAACAGTAAAGTAATTCAAAAGCTCTAATCTCAATAAAACTTAAATTAAATATCAGTATCCAAATCCACTACAAGTTGTCTTTTCCTCTGTGCCACCAGTGACAATAAGAGAACTGCAGTGTACACATGAAACTCTCCTGGAATGAGACCAACTGCAACCACGGATGATTTTTATTTCCTCACAATTCTATACCTTTTAAAGCACTTATATCTAAGGATTGCAGACATCAGGTCAGAAAGTAAGCTAACGGTGGTGTCAGGATGCCTCTTACACGTCTGCTTTAGTAGCTGTAGTTTCATGTCACTGAAACCCCATTTCTTTGTAAAAATAGTGGAGAAAGGCGCCAATCCTACTCCCACCTTAATACAGTTCACTAAAAATGTCTTGAGAAAGTATCTTCAGAATCAGCCCTAAGCCAGCCCCACAGCATGACCAGCAGGGTGTGCCTAACTTTAGCACAAGGCCATTGCATTCATCGACCAGGACAAAACCTGAAGGATGCCACAGTACCCCGAATGATACTGGGACTTCAGAAAAATAAAGGCCAAGTAATGTCCTAGGACACACAGCACAGCAAAGGTTCCAAGACTGGTCCTCATCCTAGGACACACTTTGTGTCAGTGTACAGGATGGAACTCTTCATTAATGCCAATGTGCAGAGTTCTGCTGAAGTCAACAGAGAGCTGGTTCAATAGAATTTAAATTATACTGGAAATTTTAAGGTACCAGTTTATAACAACTACGTCTTGGAAAAGTTCATGCTTCCCAAATATAGTATTAGTAATCCTGTCAATTTTATAAGCATATCATGCATTTCAAATCAAGTTGAAGTCTCAAATGATACGGACTGCATGAGCACCTCAAAACCTGCCTAAATATGTCTCTCTCAGAGTAGCATATACTATTTCACATTTTTCTTTTTTTTCTTAATAATTATGTTGATATTAATCCCAAACTCATAAACTATAAAAGACTTAGAGGGTATGAAATGTTATTCTCTCATCACCACTATACCGTAAATATTTTTTTCACTGTGCTGGGGGAGAAACAAAAATGTAGGAAAAACTCTAACTACTACTATGCCACAGAAGTACATGCCAATCTTGGATATGAAACTGAAATGCTGGATTTTAATTCATGGTAACTACTTTTCACAAGTTTTTTTTTTAATTTTAATGTTGCTCACAATGATACACAAGCATTATGATCAACAGATAGATTTCTGTTTCCAAAGTGTGCAAAAGATTTATTTCTGATTAAAATCAACTCTGCCTAAGAAAATGGCCAAAACAGTAAAACCCAATTTCTATGTATGTTCTCGTTTCATTTATAAACACAGAGTACCTTGTTCTCTCTCTTCAGACAAAGATGCAGTCCAGAATCTCTAACATAAATTGAGCATTTCATGGCAACATTGCAGTATTCTAGGTTTTTCAGTTAAGTCTTCAGATTTAATGAGCATGGGAAATTGCACATAAAGATTCACTTAACACCCTGTTCCTGAGCACAGGGCAATGTGCTCAAAAACAACATGCGTCCAGAAATGTAATAAAAGAAACGAATTTGTTTCTTATTTCCAGAATGAAATATTGTTGAATGTAATATTGTCAAATAATCTCACCATATAACTACGTGGGATTAAAGAGCATTCAGTTTAAACACTGTCATTGTGAATGATTTTTATGTTCCCTCAGCTCAGTTTCTTCACTACCCACAACAGCAAGTACACACCACCTTTTCCTGACAAACTCCGTAACACTGCTTGCTTTAGTATGGATTAAATGACATTAAAGGTGGTATGTATGTAATGATCCAGTTGGCAGAATATAATCAATCTTTCATTGTAAAAGAGTTAGTCTTTCAGAACCTTTGTCTATAAATTTCCTTTTGGATGACAGGTGAAGCAATGTAGGTTTAAGTACCTTAACTGTTGTGAAGTAGACTTCTCCACAGTGCTGATAAGCCACAAGGGTCTGTTCTTCTTGGTTCCGGGCTAGCCGAACAAACATCATCCAGTTTCCACAGTCCTCATTGGGAGTGTCCAGAAAGTACTTCCCTCCATCTTTCAATACCTGAAACAAAGGAGGAGAACAGGAGGACGAATATGATAAAACCAAGTCCTGTATAGAGGCACATTAGTTTTCTTTAATTTGCAATCACAGCTATCAGTTATCTACTTTGTCTTGGTCATATGTCCCTTGAAATCATGGTTGTTTTGAAATAGATCACTCTTAATGAACACTGAGTGCAAAAGAAAGGGAAGACCAAATACCTGCTGAACACCCCGCTACTAAAATAACTGTAGGCCTTTGTATGTATTTCCCATTTATAGTTCATCATTTTTATGTTCTATAAAGATAATATTATAAGAACTAAGTGTAGGCAGGTAGAAAGATAAGCTTTGTGCCTTTATCTACTTCCTGAGCACTCGATAATCTCAAGCTTCAGTGCTGCTACATTTTGCATGGAACAATTGTATAGCTTGTGTTAGTAAGTCCAGAGAGGTAGCATACAACATAATGGCATTTTAACAGTCTTCTCTTTTTCCCCTTAACAATGCAAAAGTAAATACAAATGAACAATTGTACCAGAAAGATCTTTTTCTTTTTCCTTTACTTCACTCTTCCTAGATTCTCCTCCAAGAGAATGCCCCTATGAGGCAAAAACTACCAACCTCAAACAAAACAGCTGCTTTTCTGCAATAGTGTCTCAAATATGGACAGACAAAACTGCACACCTGATGTCAGCATAGCTTGTATTTGTTCTACTAACCATGTAACTGAGCAAGTAACTGCAAAAAAAAAGTTGCATTTTTATTGCTTCTGGGAACTATTTTATCTAACTTCGTCATGTTTCCGATGAAAGCACCTGCCTGTTGGACAAGTTTGGTCACATACTCATGCTACAGAGAAGTCAAGGCAGCTACTGCTGTCATGTAGGAAATCTGGGACTCTAATCTCCTCTTCTGAAGAAACAGTCCATTCATCAGCCAGAGCTGTGCTTATCACTGTATACTTTTAAGCAAATGGTGCTGACTGATAGAGGATAGGGTGTGGTTTACAATGGCTTGGTGAAGAGGAAGGAACTGGGTGCTTAGCTCATCCATCCATTGTTAGAGAAGCACATTTTCTGCATTTTTAATAGTGTCTAATCAAAAGACTGAAGATATTGAGTTATAGAGAAGAATAAAGCTTTTCTGGCGTCCACATGCCATGAAAATTCCATAGATGGACAGTGTTATTTTTCCTGGCAGATAATTCCCATGATTTCCATGTCCAAATCAAGTTCACAGCAACTACTGAAGCTATTACTACTTTGAAGCTCTCTAACTAAAGTTCAGAAGTATTTCCTCACAACATGGTGCTTTCCAGTCCCAGGCTTCTGGAGGAAGCTCAAATGAAGACACAGAGTGTGTCACAGGACAGCTGCTGTTGGTGTCTCTCTATTTGGGGGTGAGAGGACTTGATACGAAATGCAAACTCTGGAAGAACCATGACCTGTTGGGAAGTCCTCACAGAGGCTGTGGCTTGGCCATGGACTCTCATATGACACAGAGCTGTGCTCAGCCATGACCCTAACAGCAAAACGCAAAGACTAGGGCCCAGAGGATTGTCCTAGCCAACTAATCAACTCTCACTCCCAAGGAATTCCTGTGGGAAAGGATATCCACGTAGATTTGTTTCAGCTGGGCTAGTCCTCAGAGGCCACAATTTTTGCTGGAAAAAGTACAAATAATAGTGCCATGGTCCAGGTGAAACAGTCAGTACTTACGTGTGCAGCAACAGAACGTACCAGCTCTAAATAACAATCTGAATAAATAAACTGAGGTAGTGCACTGTGTGTCTAAGCCTACATATAAATTAACAATTATTATTAATTAATAACAATAAAATTTAAAATTAATTAAGAAGTGTTTCCCTATCCTTCCACTGTTTCTCCCTACTAAGCTCGTGCCTGAGTGCATAATTCTGTCACTCTAACTCAGTGCACAAACTCAAACCTCCCAGTGGTATGGTGTAAAGCACAAATCTTTTTGTGTTATCTGGGAAGAAACTTCAGTAGCTATGCTCTCCGAAAAGCTTATCAAAAGCTATTAGACTGATAGGCCTAACACACCCTAGAAATGGTAAAACTAGAAAGCAGGAAAGCAAACTTCTAGAAAACATTGTATACAGGAACATTTGGGTACTTCAGGTTATGCTGTACTGTCTAATAATTTAAGTGATTTACACTCACACACATCAAAAGTACAATTAATGAACTACATCAGATGGCAAATTGACTGATTAAAATACTTAAATAAGTATGAGCTGCTAAAAACACACACGCACTTCATAGAAAGGAAGTGGGTTTTTACCTGCAGGACTAGCCTGCTCTCATCATAACAGGTCAGTTTTGTAGACAGTTGACCAACATAAGGGCCAAATTGTGTTCTCTTCTGTATTACTTTCTTTGCAAATACACCAAGGACTGTGAACAAAACAAAGAGCAGTCTAATATTAGTACAGACATCACGAACTATTTCTTCTATGCTTACAGCTGTGAAAATGGAGATAAACAAAATAGTGCAGAACACATGGATTCTTTTTCTAGACAAATAAACTCAGTAAATAATTCTAAGGTGAAGAAACTAAAAAGGATGTAAATAGGTACTGATTTTTTAAATGGGAACTACATCAAATAATGAATTACCAAAAATCTATGACAGGATATTAAACTGAGTATGCAATACAAACATGTTGATACTCCTCAATCTACAAACTGCTGTTATCATAGTCCTCTGCTTTTTGGCATAATTTGGGAGGTTGCTCTCTCCCAATAAGAGGGGAGAGAATCTATAAAAACACAGTATTAGCCTTCTTAATCATTCCAGTTATTCCACCGCCAGATCAATGGAGTGACAGTGTAGGCATCCTGTCATTCTCTTTCTGAAGAAGAGTCTAGGCAGGACTAATTTTACACAGGTAGCTGTGGAAAATTTGCACACAAAGAACATAATTCCTTTGTTCATGTTTGGGAATTCAAATTGCTTTGCTTTTAGAAGGAAGCAACAGTCTTCCTATAATGTAAACTAAAAATGCTGCAAAAGGTAAATTACCCCACTGTGATCTATTGAGTTTGCAGGGGGTGGATAAGGGATGTCATTTACCATTTTGTTTCTGACCTTTCATTGAATACTCTTTCCTGTTTTGCGTGCTTGGGGAAAAGTGAAAAAAAAAATAGTAGTGCATGGCTGTTATTATTAGATACAAATTCAACATTCATTAAACTTGGATTGACTGAACAGAGCTAAGTGGTTGCTCACAGCTAAATGTCACACCAGCTCTGGCTAATGTCCTGCCATCAGTTTATGCATCCGTTACCAGAAATCAGTCATAAAAAACAGTAGCTGACTGTGAGCTTTAGCTGTGCTCAGCTGAAAACAGTCTCCATAATGCTAATGCCCCATGATTATGCCTTGAGTTACTCATGAGAACAGGCCAGTGTTTTTGCCTCCTCTTTCTCAAATGTGGGAAAAAGAGCTAAAATACTTACTCTGTTGGTTTCCAGCTCTCAGCTCCAACACTCGCAAAGTGAGGTAGTGAGGCAGGGTGAGACGGGCTCGGCTGGGAATAACCCTATCTTTAGCCCTGATGAGTGGTCCGTGGAGTTTGCATTCTCCTATAAGGCTTTTACCGCAATCCTCACACCCTACAAATCCAGAAAAGGGAACCTGTTACTAAAAATGAAATCCTGGTTTCCAATTTAGTCTTTTCTAATTTTGTCATCTTGAGAACACATCTGGAGTTACCAATGCTTTTCTTCACATCAGTGTTCTACATTAGGTAGTGATAAGATTATCTGCAAGTCAAAACTAAATGAGGAAGGCTTGAAATAACACCTCCAGTTTGTGCATTCTCTCCTGAGTAAAATGGTGGGTCTTCACCTCCAAAGAGTTACATATATGCTCATCCAGAGGTGTCACAAACTGTGCCTTTAAAGACTAGGATGGGAGCAAAACTGGACTTCACTGCATGCCCAGCTATAAAGTAAGATGCATATATTTATACAGAAATATGGACAAAGTTTTTAGCAATAGCCTAGGTAAGGTTGGTCCCTTCCAACCTCACCCATTCTGTTATTATTAAATACAGAAATTTGCAGAGATCCAATGAAGACTTTGTGTCTGCTGCACAGACCACTCTCAGTAGAAGACAAGACTCTCAGGATACCATGAGAAATGAGTATGATGGGTCCTACAGCCACAGCCCAGTTGACAATCATGCAGGGGCAGCCTCCTCATAGGCCACTCTGCCTGTGCAAGTAAGGAAAAGGGGCAAACAGCATCTCCCAGCTGTTGGTTCCCAATAATGACATCTGCAGGCTGAACACACAAACCATCCAGAGAACTCATTAAAGAGAAATACATGTCTGCAAACTGACTTTCCCCCAGCACAGTGAGATATTTTTGGTTCAGTGCAGCTCAAACTGGTTGCCAGGGAAACTCATACAGAGCAGTGACAAAACTGAGCAATGAGACTTTCCAGCAGAAGGTCATCTCAGCACTGGTGTCACACAGGGCGATGGGAAAAAGGGGACTTCTTGCACAAAACCTTTTTATAGACAGTAGAAACCAAACCAGTGAGCCAACAATGCTTTACGACCAAGTTAAAAAGAAAAGATATTGGTCATCCATGACTACTTCGTTTTGTTTTCCTTCTGAAAACTCTACTGAGCAAGTCTATTCAGTAAGTGACAATACAGAGCAGAGGAGGGGAGCCAGAACAGCCAAGAGAGTCCAAGGGAGCACTGCAGCAGAGACTGGGGCAGACAGAGAAGTAAGGCTTCATAACAGACAGGGACTCATAACCAAGGGGCATAAAGGGCTCAGGAGACATTGCCTGGGGAGACAACAGAGATAGTCTTTGAAAAAGCACTACAGCACTATAAATGTCATGTTCAGGGTACCATTCAAAGGTTTATGTTTGTGAAGACAAGCAGGCACTTGACTAAATCATGCACCTTGAGAGTCTAGTCAAAAATCTCCCCAGATAAGCCTGAAGTATTCCTACCGAGTTCTTTGGGCTCCCCATCAACTCCAGCTGAGGAGATAGACTTGTGTGTTCGTCAGGTTGCAGGCCCTACAGCAGTCAGTATTTTTCAATAATTTGTGGGCCATGGAAGTTTTCTTTTGCCATGGCTCCCAGGCTGTATATCTGCACTGCGAATAGCTGAAAAAGATAACTTATTTTTGCTAGTGCTACAGATAAAGAGCATGCCCCTCTACAGCCATCACTTAAAATTTACAAAAAACCCAACAATATAGCTGCCAGGCAGATTTTTCTTGTTATACACTTGTTTATGTACCCAAAAGTCCTTTACAGCTAGGCTGCAAGAAAATAAAAATATTTCCCTTGGTGATTTAACTTAATTGGCTTTTAAATAAATTCACCCTTCTGAGGGCAACAAAATTATGAGGGCTTCATGAACTTGCTTGGAATAATAGTGACTTTGTCTCAAGTCAAACAGCTCCTGCTTGGAGAGTCGTTGTATGCAAACGGGCCGAAACACATTACCACAAGCAAAATGGAGACAAAGAACCGCTGTTAGAGGAAGGATGTGTCTAATCACAAAGTACACGACCTTATCAATCCATGCCATACCTCTGTGATTCATCACTAGCAAACTCCTGAGCAAACCTTCCAGCTGCCCGGGGCAGTGCCCACCTCCAAGGCTCCAGGGTGGGCAGCTCACAGGAAGGTTGGAAAGGGAAAGCAGGGGCAAAGGGTATTCCTTGAATCAGCCTCCAAATTCTGCAGTAGAGCTCCATTAGCTAACCCCCCTTGGCCCTCTAGATCCAAGACATAGGTCTGAAATGATTCACACATGGGTAGTAGGGAGGCTCTCCTCTAAAATCAGGAACTGCTTTACATCCAACCGGGTGTTGAGCAAGGGCCTCCAAGCGGAGCAGCCCCACAGACAACACCCTAGACGGCACAGCTCAGCAGCAGCACAAAGACATCAGCTAGCCCTGAACAAAATTCCCTGCAGAGCTGGAAGTGCTATTAAGCACCTTGCTAGCATGCCCTGGGATTCTGACCTGGCATAGCTGCCCAACACCTTGAAATATGAGATCAGCTCAGTGGGTTAGAGATGGTGCTAACAACACCAAGGTTGTGGGTTCAGTCCCTGTACACTGAGGAGTGTGGCTTGATCACACTTGTGGGTCCCTTCCAACTCAGAATATTCTGCAATTCTGTGAAACATCTAGAGCTGTCCAACGTTTGTTCTAAGGCTTTCTATGTTTCATTATATGGGTCATGAAGATAACTATAATGATTTAAGTTATTTAATACCGGCATACTGGTATTATATTACTATACAGTATTTCTGACCCCACACCAACATGTTAGTACCCTGACTGAAAATTTATTGCATTCTAAAAATTGCCAGGTGTACCAGAAAAAATAGGATTGGAGCACTGCAAATAGAATAACTTTAGGGGCTACTGAAGGAAACTGAGATCTTTGTAATTTCTCTCCCCAAAACTAAGAGTGCAAAACTGTCAAGTTCACATTCTTCTTCAGAGATAATTACAGGCCAAGTCATGATCCTCTGTGTTACAATGCTAAATTACAGATGCCATTAGCAAAGGAATGTACATAGAGCCACAGCACAGAGTTTATAAAGCTCACACAGATTTTATACCCCTTTTTAACTTGGCTAATTAAGTAAAATATATTTTTTCAACAACAGCTTCAGAACACACTCTAACCTGTTCTGAAATAGGGCACATCCAGCTATGGAAAGAACACACACTTTGTCGTATTAGCACTAGAAATCAAAAACACTTGGTCAGAAAAATCACTTTCTGCAAAGAAGATTCTTCTGCTTTTTGCTAGGCACATTAGTACCTCAACACTTCTTCAGTTTCCTTGCTCCCTTAAATGGTATTTACACAAACAAAATTAATGGATTCGAGGTCATGTGCAAGCATGCAAGAAAAAGTAAAACTGCCACCATTCCTCTGCTTTGTTGTGATTTAGATGAGTAGGCAACAAAAAGAAATAAACAAGATTTACAGGAGTTACAAGCTGTTAAAAACCAGATTGTGTCATTCACTATATCCTTAGAAAAACAATGCTATATTGTCCCCTAGAGGGTACTTCTTCATTCTTCATCTGTCCTCACAATGATTCTGAAAAAATTCCAAATAATGCCTTTTTCTCTATCTGGAGACAAAACTGCACAAGCTAATAGATCTTGTAGCTGTTAAGATTTTTATTTTGCTGGACCTTCCTGTAGCAGCGGGGTGGCAGTTGTACCGAAGAGCCCAGCCCTGGTGCAGGTGCAGGCTCTGACCAGGCTGTGGATGTGCAGCCACCACCTTAACCGCAAGGACGAGGTGCTCACCCCTGCCAGCCACCGCTAAGAGAGGAGTGCATCTCCCCGACACCCCCAGCTGGTACCCTGCACCTGAATGCCTTTGCTCCCCTTTCTCTCACATATTGGGAGCCATGGTTGGCAGCAACCAACCCTGGCTTTCCCCTGCTCTTTGGGTTATCATAAAATCGAGACCCGCTGCCCGCAGGATGCACTCCCACCACATGAGCTGACTGGACACTGGTAGCTGTGTTCCCAGGGAGGAGAATGGGCTGTGAGTGTGGCTCACCTGTACTGTCCTCACCATGCTGGTGCTTCGCCCCAGTCCAGGTCTAGGTGACAGTTCTCCTTTGCTGCAGCCCATACAGCCTGGCAGCCTCAGCTGCCAGCCTGCCTCGTCCTCCAGACAGCTCTGGGGCAGCCACGCTGCACTGGGACGAGCTCCCACAGCCAACGGTAGCCAAGCTGGCACGGCAGCTTGGGCAAGCTGGACTTGAGCACAGTCAACAAACTGGTTTCCAAAACAGCAGCACGGTTGGAGCACTGTGCCACCCCCCCAGGCACAAGCCCGGCCTCGGGGACAGCTCATTAGTGCGGGCAAGGAGCCACGGGCTGCGGTTACACAGAGCCCTGCTGCACAGATAACGGGAGCTATACATAGCCATACTAGGAACTGCAATCACTGTCGTGATAGCTCACACATGCCACCAGATCCTTAACCAATCAGCAGCCGAACATCACTTTTTAAAACCAGTTTGCTAAAAACTAGATGCCTATCAGGACCTCCTCCCTGCGTTTTCTCCAACCCCTGCTTTCAAGCAAGACTTTACAGTACCTGAGCGTTTCAGTGGCCCACAAGATGCCTGCGGTGCAATTATGTCCCCTGTGAAGGCAGAGGTAAATCATTCCTTTTCAATTGTCCACTTGGAGCAAATGCACTCTGTGAGAAATGATCAGAGGCTGAGCAGACCTTGGCATTTGCTCTGCTGTTTTGCAGCATTAGAATTAGCTCCCATGCGCAGAGGGAACAAAGATCAGTGTACACAGCAGTCCAAATCCTAGCCTAATTACAATCATAAGATTTGCATAGCAAACAACAGTAATTTATTCCGGAGTAAAACTGTAGCACTCCGTTAGCCTTGTTCAGCTTTCACAGAGAGGAACACTGCAAAAATACCTTCTGGATATTTTCTGTCTGAGGTACATTGCACATGCCAGTCTTGTTCTCTTAGCCAAAGGTGCATGAGGGTTTCCAGCCTGTGGTTTGTTCTACAGCACTCTGTGCTGGAAAAGCTTGAAATCCTTGTTCTACAATTTATTTGGCAAAA